GCTGGTTTCAAACTCGCAACAATCCTCCTGCTTCAGCCTCCTGAGTGCTGGGACTACAGGCATTTGCCACCATGCCCAGCTTCCTATATCCTCTCTTAACAAACTTAAATTTGTTCATGCTTCTACAGATACCTTCTCACGTATGATTCATGATACCTGTCATTCAGGTAAACAAAACCAACATGTCACATACAACAATTGTGTATTGGGGCTGGAGATTTAGCTCAGCGGCACAACGCCTGCCTGGCAAGCACAAGGTCGTGAGTTCGATTCCCCGTACCGGAAAAACAAAACAAAACAATTGTGTATTAGACTTTGCTAATTTAAGAGCGTCACAGACAATAAAACCTGACATTGTTCCTTCTTATATTAGTAGACATTTTCAGAGTGTTCTTGATAACTGGAACATAAAGCTTGTTACAGGAATCCCCTATAATCCCCAAGGTCAGACAGTAATTGAACACATTCGTTTTAAACTAAAAAATCAACTAGCTAAACAGAAGAAAGAGCGAACACAAGGTCAAAACTTTGCTACATATGTTTTAACGTTTTTGAATCCTGCTGGGCGTGACCTCCGAATAGGTGTTTGGAATGGTCCAGCATCACTTTTTTTTTTTTTTTTTTTTTTGGTTTTTTCTCTGGTACTGGGAACCGAACTCACGACCTTGCGCTTGCCAGGCAGGCGCTTTTGCCGCTGAGCTAAATCCCCAGCCCGTCCAGCATCACTTTTAAATTGGGGCCAAGGGCATGCTTGTATTTCCACAGATATTCAAGAGACATTATGACCATCAGAGCTGTTCTGCGGCCAGAATCCAGCCCACCTGCACAACACATCAAGCCCTCTGCCGAGACCTCAAGCAGCGAACCTGAGAGCACATTGTCCACTGTCCTGGGAAGGCCTATAGCAGACTGTGAGGCTTGCCACCTAGACGACAGCTAGGGTTTGGTTCAATCACCTGAAAATCTTTCCTTTGCAATACTCGCTTTCCTAGCAGCTACAATATGTATTCCTGTGGTTCAGAGAGAAGGGCATTGGGCCTACACACTAATCCACCCTTGCTTAGACCCCTTACATGGATGGACAGGTGCCCTAGAGATTTTCCATTCTATAAAGAATAATAACCCAACATATGCTATTCTGTCCAGCCCTCAATTTTTAATGCATTTACAAGAACAGATGAAGCTTCACATTACCTCTTATTTTGTATATCCTCCCTGGTGTGTAGCTCATCCACAGCAAGATTCTAACCTTTGCATGTTGGCTGTAGATCAGACTTGGAAAGTACAACTGTCTAAAGGACAATTTGCCTTATTAATCTTAACTTCTATTCTCTCAGATGGTAACCTTCTAAGAGATTTAAAACTTAACATTCCTATCTGTATTCCTGAAGCTCATGCTTCTCATTATGAGGAAGGTGATTTGGGCCCTTGGCAGACTACCCTACCATGGACAGGCTATACGCAAATTTCATTATTCCTTTGTAGATAGGTCCCCCCAGGGGATTCCTTCAGGGACAGGATTGAGATTGGCACAAGAATTCCTTTTCAGGCTCTCCCAACCATACCATAACCTCAGAGGCCTTGTCCAGTGTTACATGGTCAGGTAGAGGCCTCAATCCTCCCATCCCCAGACTGCATACTGCAAAGGTGATTTCAGGCCTCCTACTTAGCCTAGCTCATGGCACTCACATACTTTCCGCCATTCTCACAGTCACTCATTCTCAAACCACTCCCTTCTTCATGAATTAATAAAATCTGGGTTTGGCCCTAGATTGAGGCCTTTGTTCTGGCTAGCCATCGTTGTAGCTGGATTTAGGACCCCTTGGTTCCCCACAACTACAAATATGCCTTAGTGTCTTTATTCTCACCGTGGGTTGCACTGGAAGTGGTCGATTGGAATTAACTCTCTAGAATTCCAATAACTTTTCCTTGGGATTACAAATATAAACTTCCTGGGCCACAGTGAGACCAGGAAGGGCTCTCTCTACCATGTGATAATGAGCCAGGGTGTAGCTGAGAGGTAGACCCTTGCCTTGCATGTGTAAAGTACTGATCTCAAACCCCAGCATAGCTGCATCTCACCCCCCACACAAACCCCCAGTGTACAAGATATTTTACAATTTTCTCTCGGAGTGGCAAACCCTGTGTGATTTTATCTCTGTAGTTTTTTGTGTTAGAAATGCACTAATTCATATATAATATTATAGTAAGGATAAAATGAAATTTGATGAAGAGATAAAAGTCAATTAAAATTAGCAGATCTCCCTCCTTTCAGTTTCTTTTCACAGCAGTAGTATGTGATAAAAATTTTGACTGAAATGTTTTTCAGTCTATGCTACATAAATTCTCTATAAATTATAATTTCCATGAATCCGACTCTCTGCAAATGGGCTCTTTCCCAGGCTGCTACAGAAATATATTCAGAGACGTGGAGGGAGAGCAGCAACCTACCTTCATTCATTTTCAAAACAGGCAGAACTGACTTCACTTTTAAAAGAAATGGTATGAGCTGGGGATATAGCTCAGTGGGATAAGTACCTGCCTGGCAAGCACAAGGTCCTGAGTTCAATTCCCGGTACCAAAAATAAAATAAAATTAAATTTAAAAATAAAAGAAATGTTAGGTCTCCTTCTCTCAGAAAGGTGGCGGCCTAGTGGGCCCCAGGGCAGCCATGCTGAGAGGATCCTAGCACCCCCATCTACCACTACCTTGCTCTGTGTCAAAGACCTACACCCAGACATGACTGAAGCAGTGCTCTAGGAGAAGCCCAACCTGGTAGGGCCCACCCTTTCCATCCAGGTTTATAGGAACACGATCACCCACCACTCCTTAGACTATGTGTAGCGAATTTCCAGGAGCAGGAGGAAGTGGAGCATGGTTTGGACACCAAGGGTTTTGATGTTACAAAGGGCAAGCCAGTTGCATCGTGTGGTCTCAGCATACCGGTCACTCTGCCAGAGTGCATCAGGTAGCACAGTCATTAGAAATTTGGACAGATCCATTGAGGAGGCTGCCCAGGAAGCAGTTGACGGTGCCGCTGGGGTTCCAGCTGTTTAAAATGGATCAGGGATCACGAAAAGAAACTCCTGCTTCACTGCAGAAAGGTGGATGTAGCTCAGTGGGATAAGCACCTGCCGGGAAAGCGCAAGGTCTTGAGTTCTAAACAACAAAAAACTTTAAATATTATGAAGAAAATTGCAAAATGTAAAACAAAAAGGGAAGGAAACTTTGAACCTTGTATACCAAGCTAATGTCAGGTCTAGCCAAAAAAAAAAAAAAAAAAAAAAAGCCAGTCCTACATTACTTGTTTTAAAAGTGAACAAAAAATCTCCTCAAAAATAGTATAATATAAAAACAAATTAATATCTTATATTTCCTGGGAAAAGAATTTTCAGTGAAGTCCAAACATTTAAAACATCCCTTTCTTTAATTTTGTACTTCTGCAGTGTAGAAGAGCTTGCGATGTCAGTTCTGTTTTAAGTAGCAGAGCTAATAACTGAGCAAGGAAACAATTTGGATTATAAAATTCTTGCTTTAATAAAAATTCCTTGAGCAGTAAACTGTTTAATAAGCTTATTCAGATGTGGATCCCCCAGGAAAGCAAACAGGCTCTGAGATTTAGAACAAATAAGGAAAAATAATTTTGCATTTCTGGGCAAGGGCCAGATCTACTTCACTCTTTGCACTGCAGTTCGATGTAATTTGTTGGTTTGTGGTGCTGGGGATGAACTCGGACCCACATGGATGCAAGGCAAACACTGTACTCCTAAGCTACACCCGCAGGCCCTTACTTTATTTTAAATACGTGTTTAACCACTTTATAGCCTGATTCCTAAAGCATTCAGCCATAAATCAACAGATAGCATGTGTTCAAAACTGGGGCGGGAGTCTGGGTCAAGGTCCAGCCTTGTACTAAGCCAAGACCTTTGTTCTTCTGAGAAGTCAAGTTGAAAACAAGCAAAGAGTTCAGCACGAGGACAGCATCCACAGACCCTGCTCCAGCGCAGCTCCTCTGCTCAGCAGCCATCCCTCAGCCTTTGTCTCTTGACCAGTCAAAAGCAGTCATTCTCAAACAGTTAAAGTCATCACATTACAGCGATACACGCACACCCATTTTATAGTACTACAACTTATAATAGGTAAGTCTGGGAAGCAGCCTATAAGTCCATCAAAAGAGGACTGGATAAAGAAAAACTATTTCCGGGGCTGGGGATTTAGCTCAGCCGCAAAGCGCCTGCCTGGCAAGCGCAAGGTCGTGAGTTCGGTTCCCGGTACCAGAGAAAAACCAAAAAAAAAAAAAAAAAGTATTTCCACACAAAGGAGTACTGCTCTGCCATAAAGACGGATGAATTTGAGTCACTGTGGGTAAATGGATGCATCTTGAGACCATAATGTTAAGTGAAATACATCAGGCACACAAGCTGAAATACCACATGGGTTCTTTTATAGGAGAAACCCAAAATATAAATAAAGAACAAAATAAAAGGGAGATAACAGGAAGTAGGGCTGGGCATGGTGGCGCACGCCTCTAATCCCAGCACTCGGGAGGCTGAGGCAGGAGGATCGTTGCGAGTTCGAGACCAGCCTGGGCTACAAAGTGAGCTCAAGGCCAGCCTGAACTACATAGCGAGACCCTGTCTCAAAAAAGACAAAAATAAAAAATAAAATAAATAAAAATTAAAAAAAACAGGAAGTAGGGAGGTAGATCCTTGTCAAACGGGAAGGGAAAGGAGGGAAGGAGAAAGGGGATGGAAAGAGGAATTAAGAGGTATTGTGCACAGGCTCCAACTCCACACAAGCTATGTAAACACTGCGTACTGCAAACATGAACTAATAAAAAAATAATTAAGGAAGGAAGAAGCCCTGGCATACACCAGTTGCCCCATCGGGCTGTGTCTTTCCCAGTTGCAACCAGCAGAGGGAGCCAGAGCCACCGGGTCCCGCAGACCCGCAAGATCCCGCTGTGCCCCGCGCTGCAGGGAGGGACAGATCTTGTTTACCTGATCATGTTTAAGGGCGGGTTTCGGAGGCGGATCAGTGCCAGCGAGTGGGGCAGCCGCACGTACTCAGCCATTTTCCTCTGTGTGTCTCCCGCCCCGAGACTCGGCCACTTTTCCGCGTACAGCCCGGAGGGGCGGAGCCCGCTGGGCCAATCGGAGCCGGGTACCGTCCAGGGGCTCCACCTCATCCCCCCAACTCCAGCCCCCAACTCCGCGCCCGCGGGGCTCCTCGCTCGTCCTCTAGCTTAGCTCCCATCTGCTGCCTCCACAAAGCTCCTCAGAGAGGACCCTGGAAATGACCCAGCTTTGCCACACGCTGGAACAGAGGCGGCAGCTTCCAGGGACAAGACCTCGCCACAGTTCATCCTCCCGATTCCTGTGGACAGGGGCAGGTGCCTGCGGCCAACACAATTATGTCAAATGATGCCCGTCTGAAACACATGGACTTGCCTCAGACATTTTACCCAAAAGAGGACGATGCCAACATCGACCAAGTATTTACAAAATAATCATCTTCCATGTCCTACACTATATGGCAGCCTAGAACCCCTATGAGCTCCTGGTCTACCCAGTCCTGCTCGCTTTCTTCTCTTGTCCCTCTTAAGGGATTTCCAGTACTTTTCTCAGGGCTGGGGATTTAGCTCAGCGGCAAAGCGCCTGCCTGGCAAGCGCAAGGTCATGAGTTCGATTCCCGGTACCAGAGAAAAAAAACCAGTACTTTTCTCACGGATCCATGAACTGAGCACCTACTCCGTGCTGGACCTACATTAGAGACAAGACAAACAACGCCCACCCCCTCGCCTGCAAAAGTTCAGGTGGGGCGAGGTCTTCTAATGTGTGTGGCCTTCCATGGTCCCCACAGTCCATCAGGAGGTCAGCAAGCAGTCCAGGAGTTTCTAAGAAAAGTATCTGAAAACTTTTTTCACTGATGTTTTACACATTTTGATAATGATTAGAGGTTATCTTCATTCATATTCTTTTTTTTTTTTTTGG